CAGAAAAAAGGATTGGACAAGAAGATATTTATTCAATAAGAAAAAGAACTGAGATGGTTATCTTGAAAAAGAAGAGAAAGCAACAAACATTTAGGTTGACGTGTCTTACAAAAGCTGTCGCTACTGCTTCCAGAAAACGTTGCACACCTTTATCGTGCTGATGCGCGAAACCTTTCCTCTTCCTTGGAATCTCAAAAGTATTTGTTTTGAGAGGCGCAACAAATGAACTGATAGCTGCTTCCCTTACTGTTGCAGTACTATTAAGTCCATTTCTAATAACACCAATTTCAACAGCAATTGTTACAAATGATGCTTACGACTGTAAAACTTTTTTTTAATTACCTGCATATCGATCTTTGCTTTAACAATTGTCATCGCTGATGTAAGCAAGCACAAATTTGCGAAACCTTCATGCATTACGATCGCAGCTACATCGGCACTTGCAGCTGGCTAAAGTTAAAAGGTTTGAATTATCTTCAAACTGTTGCAAAAGATTTACGAGAAATGTCATTAAATAAGCATGTGAAAAATTACTAGTATCATTCGATAATGAAGTAATTCAGACACGCTACAGAAGATTTCAAGTTTTGGGATGTGCAACCAATCACATAAATAAATAAAACACTTTTAATAATGGTTGAGAAGCATGCAACATCCATGTTGATAAAAAAAATGACTGAACTCAAAGCAAAATTTATAATTACAATTGCAATAAACTTGTAAGCATACGTTAAGTGCCAAATTTAAGCGATCGAAATCGACCGAATCCCATGACGGTTTCCACAAACTGAATTTTTTGCCAACATCAATATCCAAAGTATGATACTGACCCATTTTCACATGAGCATTCTCTTGAACATTTCTACCCTTTAAATGCAGAATACTTGCTTCTGGATCGAAATCAACCTTTTCAACAGATACTGACAGGACAGTACGCACTTTCTGGCTAGGAAAAGACATTTGATCAACAAAATTAATATGCGGTGAAATTGCAAGTTGAATGTGCGTTACTTTTGAAAACGATAGTATGGAGATTCAGCAATAAACTGCACTTTTATGTACTAATATGTAATTACTCTTCAAAACGATATAGAAATTCTTTCACTCTAAACTTTAATTCCACATGATTTTAGTACATTGTGAAATAAAAACTTAGCAATTCCGTTAAGTTAAAACTGACAAATCAATAATATCCGATTAAAAATCTTCGCTGAAACTAATAAGCCTTTAATATACCTAGATGTGCTACCCGTGCTTGATTCAGTAGTAACCTTCCTAACTGTTGTACACCGCACAGTATCCCCAATGCGAATTAAATTATAAATATGCCACATGTCCTCTGATTCACTGCACATTAACGTCACGTGCCTTAAGAATATTCCGAAAGTTTTTGAAAAAACAGTAAGCATAATCAATTCTACCTCACGAAGAACAATTTGATCAAAGGATTTAAAAACTAA